CCCCCTTGACCCCCAACTTCTCTCTCATGTTCCACACTCCCAGTCACCTCTGGATGTTTTCATCTGACTGCTCAGCTGACATCTCAAACTCGAAACTGAACCCATCTTTTCCCCTAGAAAACCACTTCTCCTTCAAACTCCCTTATGTTGATAGAACCACATCTCTTCCTTTCACTGAGATTCAGAAACTCATGTATTAACATAAAGTCTCTTTGAGAACCCATGAGGTATCAGATACTGTTCTAAACAACACAGGATTGACGAGGCACATTCTCTGACCTCAAGAAGCTCACAGTCCAGTGGAGGAGATACCAAATAGAGAATGACAACACAATGTGATGCATACTCTAGAAGCTGTCTATCCGGAGGCCTAAGGCAGTGTGAGGACAGGAGCAATCCAGGCACCACGGAACTCATTAACTCAATCAACCAAGATATGTTGAATTCCTCCAGTACTCTAAGCCCTGGGGTTAACACCTCATATAAAGTATTGGAGGTACAGTTTTGAAAAATATAGATTTTTTTGGTTCTCATACAACTACCCAGGGAGACTGGCACAAAACAAGTAGGCAATAAACAAGATCATTTCAGTTAGGGACAGAAGTCTCCAGGCTGCTGTGAGCAAGTTTGCAGTGTATCCCCTGCACAGAGACCCAGCTGAGGGGGAGGATGAGGTCTGCGCCAGCCAGAGGGAGCTTCTTTTTCTAATTACTGCAAAGGCGCTCTACACCCTCGCGGTGGCCCTGGATCTTACAAAGTGAAAGTGAGTGCCATGGAGACTCTTTTAGACAAGGTGGTCAGGGAAGGTCTTGCTTTGCAATTCAAATGATGAGATCATCTGAAGGGAGAGTCTTTATGGCAGAGAACAATCAACAGAACAGCTCGAGGGAGAAACAAACTTGGAGTGTGAGGAACAGAAAAAAGGCTGGCGGGAGAGGAGCTAGGAACAAGACTGTGCGTGTGTGCGCAGACACATCATATTCTGAAGGTGTTTGGGGGTTGGGGGGTATGAGTGTTAGGAAATGAGTCAGAAAGAGAAGATTCCATCCAGATTGTGGAGGGTTATAATAATAAGCCAATGAAGAGCCAAAACTGGGAAAGGGAGATTATAGGATCAGAGATTCGTTTTCTTTTGTTTTGTTTTTAAGGAAAATGATTCTACTGGCAGCTAGCTGATCAGTTAGGAGGTTGTTATAATAGCTAGGGATAAAAATGGAGAAAATAAAGAGAGTAAAAAAGGAATGTGATATACAAGAGATAGTACCTAAGTAGGAACAGCAGGACTTGTTGTCTAACTGGACCCCCTGGACGAGAAAAAGGAAGGCTTGGGAGGCCTCTTGTGATGCTCTCCCCACTGCCGCCAGCTACACCCTCAGTCCCCACGGTCCACCAATGTCTTCCTTCCCTTGTCTCTCAATCTCCCCCCTTCCTTTCCATCTGAGAACACTTGCCTAGTCTCCAGATAGCCTCTCTCCTTCCTCTGAACTGATGCAGCACTTTATGCATCCCACAGATTTATTACATCTCACGTTGTAACTTAGAGCATTATTTCTTCTGTACCTGTCACATCATCCTGCTTAGACTGTCAGCTACTTGAAGATAGGAACCAAGTGTTATTTACCCTTTCATGACTCAAATAGACAATTCCTGCCACATTATGGTTGCAGGAAAAATAGAATCAATGAGTAAAAAGTAGCCACATACTAAGTTATGGCAGGGTGGCTTGTGACATGCAGTCTTAAAAACACGCACATACAGATTATTCAAGGCTAGTGAATCATAAGATGAACCTCATCTTTACATAAACTCGGTTGTGAATTTGTTTAAGGCAGTTCTTACATTTATTGTGTGCATTTTTCTTACGCCAAGTACACCTGATAATAATGCTCAGGAAATGTAACCACCTGTTCCCAAATAATCACAGAAACAAATTTTAAAAGTTGCCAAGTAAAAAGATAGATGAACAAGCCAAAAAGCAGAGCCCCAGTGGTCGAATGCAGGAGGAGACGATGGTGTCCACTCTAAGGCCCCCTTGCTCTCAGTGTCAGCCCTGAGTCCTTTCACTCTACCTCCCCTGGCTGAGCTTTCACTGGGCCACGCGAACCATGAGAAATTTATGAGAAGCAGTAAATCACCCTGTATAAGAGAAGTTTATCTTGCAAGGTCATTTCTCCTGTTAAGAAGAGAAAAAAGTGGCTTGTACCAACTTTGGCTAACATCTCTGATCTCCAGCGTTCGCTGGTTGTATGGACAGTCTGTAAAGATCCAGCCATTCTCTTTCCTATTTCGGCACCACGTTGCAAAGTACATGTGGAAATGATACAGCAGTCACGGAGCACAACATTTTAACATTCCCATGTTCTAGTTTGCATTTTAGCTTCAATGAGAATTTCCTTATAAAAAAGAGGCATTTGGGGGAAGAGAACTGGAGTGCAGAGGGAGAGACTGTATCTTAATTGGATCTCCACCTGTTACTATAGCACACAAAGCCCGAGAAATCCTAGGGAAGGTCTTGAAGACCAACAGCCCTGGGCGTGGCAATCAAGGTTGCCATGGCGCCCACGTGAATAAGGAAGAGTCCAGGAAAGCAAGAGTTTATCTGTACATCTTTCTTATCAGTTAACAAAGAGCACGGGACAACAGGAGCCACATACCCTGCGTTCTTAATGAGAGAATAAAGGGTATTCTGGGAAGTACTTATAATGTAAAAGAGGGATATTCCACAGTGTTGAGGATTAAACCAGCAATTGAAGTCTATCCACAGAAGTGAGCCAAAGAAGAAAGCCAGCCTTCGGAGTATGGAGGTGTGGCCTTAGTGACGTCACCATAGATTGTATCACTACAAGATCCTGTTACTAAGAGAATCGCCCCTTTTCCATTCTGGACTCCTGTCAGTTTTACTTATTTATAAACTCAGTGCCCCCTTGGCATGGATTGCTCCTCAGGTGATGAATGAACCTGGCTGCCTGGAACGGGAATGCCACGCCCCACTTTCCCAGGTCTCTGCACTTGGCTTCCTAGGAATGAACTTGGGGTGTATAACCTCCCCTGGGAAAGTGAGAGGTTGGCCCTCGGAACTCCTGTTGCTAATCATCTTGACTGTCTCCCTTCAACTCAACTGGGAACGGGAAAACACTGGGCCAGGGGAGAACTAATTATTTTGCTGAACAGTGACAGTCCTAAGGCCCCGGGCAGGCATTACCTACACAGGAAACATAGAAATCTCTTTCCTGAGTGTTCTAGGGAAGGGCCACACCCAGAAGTGATACAGCTGCTACCAGATGAAACCCCAAGAGCCCCACCTTGGCCGCCTGGTGACACACTCCCAAGGCCGTACCCTGAGGCTGACAGCTGTGCCTCTGCTCTTTTCTCTCAACCTAGGAAGCTTATGAAAATGCAAGAGAGTGAGGGTGACTTTATTTTACAGATACCTCTGAATATATCTTATATTTTGGTATATATAAAATAGTTTATATTTTAAGCAAATTACATAAAAAAACTTGTGTTTTATTATTAAAAATAAATTTCTGGGGAATTCCCTGGTGGTCCGGTGGTTAGGACTCAGCGTGCTCAGTGCCGGGGCCCAGGTTCGATCCCTGGTCAGGGAACTAAGATCCCACCCGCTGCATGGCATGGCCAAAACAATTATTTTAGTTAAAAAAAGATAAATTTCTGATGGCAACACCTCTCAAGTGAAGTGATAGCCTCGCTGTGAGAGACCAAAGAATTTCTTCGGTGGAGGATGTGGTCCTGGGAGACAGGAGGAAGTAACTTGACTTCCGCCACTCGGCTGTTGCGGCCCAGTGAGCAGGCCACCCGGCGCTGTTATCCAAGTATTTGTTGTCCAAGAGCTGGTAGGTAGAAGACTGTGGAAGGGCCCAACATGAAGACGTACCCTCTACCTTGCTACTCCAAGTGTGCCTTGCTGACCAGCAGGACTGACAAAATTGGCTTCACCTGGAGACTGGTCAGAAATTCAGGATCTCAGGTCTCCATTCTTGCTTAACCAGAACGTGCATTTTAATATCTCCCTTACTGATTCGTGTACACTCTGAAGTTTGGGAAGTACTCTGCTCCGAGGAACTGACAAATTATGAATTAGTCTCCACTCAAACATCTCTACCTACTGCCCTGAAATCCCCATGCCTATCGGCCTTCCCTCCAGCATCAAATATAATAATGTGATATAAAGCAAATCAGCCACAGAGTGAATTTGCAAACCTCACAAAAGATGCAGGGTTTCACAGAATTAATAGACGTGATCTCGGAGGACCACTCAAATCACAACCAAAGCATCGGCAAGCGAGGAAACGGCAGGCTTAGACTCCTTAACAAGCGAAGAGGAAATCATCTACAAGGATGGTGACATTCCTTCAAAAGAGAATGGTTTGAATATCAAAGAATTCTGACAGGCCCCTGAGGAAAAACGATGAGGCTCATGAATATCTTTGTAAAAATGACCCACTTTATGATCGTGCTGCAAAAGTTAAACATATAGTTTTGTTGAAAAACTATGCTCCAAAAAAGAAAATAATTCAACACTTCACTCAGTCTTCAATCATTCTAAGGAGGAGCACATTGTTTTAATTATAACTTAAATGATATTATGTGAGAGAAATGACACTTTCGTAAGTTTTAGTTCCATTTTTCAAGACAAAGTCTCATCAGAACTTGCTGTCACCATTTCTCCTGATGTTTGGCCCTTGTTTGAAGGGCACTTCTGCTCAGTGGACTGTCCCAGGGCCAGCGTTCCTCCAACAAGACTCACTGGACTCCAGTGCTTACTGTTGCGTAGTCCTTTTTCCTTTTTCCCTTATGAGACTTCTTTTTGGTACCTATGACCAGTGTGGGGTAACTGATACCTACTTACTCCACAACTCAGTGAAGAATTCTTTTTTACTGTCCCGTTTCCCGGTTGGATGTTCCGTGCATTGTGATACCACAGAAGGGGGTTCGCCCGTGCGGTTAGAGCTCTAGGGTAGGTATCTGTTCAGGGTTACCTTATCCACCATGAGGAAGTTCTCCAGCGTCTCTCCGTTTTCACAGGTGACATGGCCAACCTCCCTCACGGCTCTGGGCAGGATCTCTCGCACCTCCTGGGCGATCATCCCTAGACACAAACACTCCAACAGGTTTTGTCTGGAAAAGACCTTTCTGGAGAAAATCCTCCCAGGTCTACCTCAGAATAGGAACACTGACAACTACACAGGATGTCTCTGCGAATAGATGCATATCCCCCCTCAGCATTTGCTTTGATCTACGAGGCATTTAAAAAGCAAAGGAGGAATCTGGAGCCAAGGACCACTAGAGGATTAAAAGAGGGAGTGTTGTTTTCTCCACTCTTCCTTGAGACTCTGAGCCGAATGTTGGAAGGGGTTAAGTACCTTCAGATCCCTGTACATAGACAGGAGGCTAGGGCATCGGCTTGATTTTCTTTCTTTTTCTGCAGGAGGGCCCTGCCCTCTAAATGGTCCTTTTTTCTTTAGAATTCCTGGACTGGAGTATGAACATCACTCTGCACTTCTCTGACCTGGACCTGCCTGTCCCGCCACCTTCCCTCTCTATCCCAATGCTACCCAGTGCTGCCTGTCATACAGTTTGCGCTGCCATCCGCCCCTCGGCCCTCATCCCATGAGCAAGAGGCCTCCAGTGAAAGGAGACAATGTGTTCAAAATCCTCCACCAGTACCATAGGGGGCAGGAGTGGGGATGGGGGTGTTGAGGAAAGATGACAGAAATTTCTTTAACTTTTCCTGTTCTGGTGATTATGGCTTTCACAGAGGACAAGTTAGACCGATAGGATGTTGTCAAGTGCCATAGCATACAGCCTCCAGATGAAGAGGGAATTAGAACTTTAATAGTTGACAATATAAAATTAAGAAGGGAGTTGTGTGTGTACCTGTTTGATGGGCAGTGTTTATTCCCATCGCAGATGCGAATTCAGGCTTGTAGTCGTATTCGACAATCCTCATTTGGGCTATTCTTCTCAGCTGTTCATTTGTGTCAACCTAATTTAATTAAAGAAGATCAGATTTCACCCGCTTAGATATTTGCTATTCGAATCAAGGCCCAGAGTGACCCAGAGAGATGAAGAATGTTGGGAATGGGATTGTCCTTTCCTCTTGCCCAAACTATTTTAAGAGAAATTTATGTTGTTTTCCTCCAAGAAGCAAGTTTCAAGGTTCATGTCGGCGACTTCCATCCACTGACTTATAAACTGAGCCAGAGTTTATATGGCTAAATTACAGGGCAAAACCTCCCTCATTCATTACTCTGGCCTCACTTCTGTCCACTGAGAGTTGAACCGTCCTTCTGAGAATGGGGGTTGATCACCTTGGAGAGAAACAATTTCTGTCCAGGATGGCAAGGTATCATTTCCAAATGAGCACACAATATAAGCAGCTAACAAATACAGGCTGACCTTGTATTTATAAATTAAAAATGCAGTACTTAGTTTAAGTAACAACCTATTAAGAATGGGTATATCGTACATCATTGAATTGCTTATGGACATCTTGCTAGAGAAAATTGTTTCAAGTGGCAGTTTGCTAGCCCGGATTGCTGGTCCCTCAAAATCTGGGCTACATTCCTACAGATGGCTTCTCCCCCCAGACCACCCTGGTCAGCGATGGTGTCCTCCTTGGAGCCAACCACTCTCACAGGTAGTTAAAAGCACTCCCAACTGTCACTGCAAGTTCCTCAAAAAAAATTTCACTGGGTCCCAGCAAAATGATAACAATAAAGACAATATAGTAGATTTTTCCTAAAGCTAAATGTGCTGATTCAAAGGCTTCCCTTTTGAGGTTTTTTTTTTTTTTAATGAATTCATGGTAATAGCATGATTGATTTTTTTTTTTAACGACCTTATTCCACAAGTAAAAATTTGGCAGTCCTATGTGGGTCCTAAAATTTTCTTTTAGAGAACATAACTGGATTATGAAACCAGTGGTCTCTTGGCAATTAAAAATATACCGCCTGGACATTCATCCATATGTTGGGGCAACCAGAAATGCTTTTCTGTTGTTTTAAGAAACCCCTGCTTTGGCCCTGAACCCCTCCCTGGACCCACTCTGTCAAGTGAGCAGTAAAGTTCCTCCAATATCATAAAGGTTCTCTTTCCTTCACCAGTTTGGTGGGTTATCAAATGTTGTGACTTTGTGCTTAACTGGATAAATGGACTAACTTTACTTCAGGTACTTGTTGGGGAGTCTAATTTTGAGCTCACTGCTGTTTTGATCATTGCAGTTATCAAAAGCTTGGTTCAGTTCTTTCATTCATTGCTTCATTTGACTAATATTTACCAATCACCTTCAACATACCAGGCACTACCCTGAGTGCTGGAACTTCAAAATGATTGCCTTTTTAAAGTTCATGGTCTAGACAGGAAAACAGACTCATCCCATAAGATTATCTTACAATGTGAGAAATGCAGGGTGATGATGGAGTTATGAACAGAGAATCATGGCAACTCCAAGGAAGCACCTAAAAGATTATCAGGGGACCGTAAAAGAAGGCTTCCCAGAGATGGTGAAGCCCAACCGAGATCTCAGCTTGTCTCAGTTCTCAAACACGCTCTGCCCCTTTCACTACAAGGCCCTTGCTCAGGGCATTTCCCTGCCTCAGAAGCTCTTCCCTTCCACTCCTCTACCTCCGCCTCTCCCCATTTAAAACACCTCTTCACCAGAGAAGGATTGCTTGACCTCCAAGACTAGGAAGTTTCCCTCTGCCTTATGTGCTAATGGCACCCGTTCTTTTCCTTCATAGCATTAATCAAAGTTATCACCAGACAACTAGTGAGTCACTTTTATTATCTGTCTTCTCCTACAGAATAAACACCCCATGAGAGCAAGGACATATTTGAGGCCATGATTTTCTGTTCGTCACCACATCACCGGTTTCTAGTACCATTCCTTGCATGTAGTAGGTGTTTAACTAATATTTATAAAATAAATTAATAACTTTAAGATAGGAGTTAGTCAGGGAAAGATGAAGGGTGGGGAAGAGGGTAGAAAGGGTAAGACTAAGATAGGGATGCTGGGCAGAAAGAACAGCATAAGCCAAGTCCTGAGGCAGCAAATCTCCTGAATTATGCCTGCACAACCAAGGCAGGGTTTGGCGTGACTAGACTGTAAAGATCAAGGTCAGAGCAGGGAGGACCTTGCAGGCCATGCTAGGAAGGAACAGTCACAATCTCATATTGCCCTGTGCGTACACCTGTCACTCTGAGCTCCTACATTCATTCAACAAATATTTAATGAGTAGCTACTGTGTGCCAGATACTATGCCAGGCCCTGGAGATTCAATGAGTTTTTCTTATTTGGAGCTTAAATTTTAATGAAAGTTCCTTTCCTGAGGGTGAGGCCTGTGTTTTGTTTGTCTTAGGACCTGCATAGTGCCTAGCACAGTGTCTGACAGGTAACAGGCACCCAAACTTTCAATGAAGGAAAGAAGGAATGAAAGAATGGAGGTAGTGAAATGGCAGAACAATCCCTGATGCTAACAGAATTGAAAGCATGGGGTCAGGAGCCGGCTAGTCTGGCCTTGCACTAGCCAGGCCCTGCCCTGTTCCCCACTCCCTGCACTCTGGGGGTCCCGTGCCCACTTGCCTGCTTCTCATTATCCCCTTGGTTCCTGTGTGAGGCCCCATCAGAGACCAAAGCAGAGGCAGTGTCAGTTCCTTTGCTGCAAGGGGAAAGCAGAGGAGGATGTGCCCTTCACTCCAACTGTCCAGGCTACACAGAGGGAAAATGACCCCTGCTGTCTAAGTTGGACCCTTGACTGCATTTTCCCCAAAGACATATTCTTAGACGTAGCAGTTAGGTTCGCTAGTACTACTACCACTGTATTTCAGACAGATTTTTGGCCAAACAAAATTTTGAGGGTTGGCTTGGGGACCTAAACACCTTCTGTAACAATCTTTTTCTAAGAAAATGCTCTTGTGATTTCTAATGCTGTGTTGTAGACTTTCCAAAGCTAAATATAAACTGCTTGTATTTCCTGCTCCCTATGGCCTGTACTCTTGGCCCAGGACAAACACTTGAGGCAAGGACTGTGCCCCCTTGGAATCCTCTACTAAGAACTGTACAAAGGCCACAACTCAACACCATGCCTTGCTCATCAATGTGTGCTGAGTAAGAGGGTAGGAAGTGAATTTGGGTGTCTAATCTGATCTTGCCCACAGCAATTTTGGAAAGCTTTGACCATGAATGCAAAGGGCCATCTCTGTCATGCTGCCTCACACCCAAGGTTTCTGTATCTTAACTCAAGCCTTTCACCGCAGAGAAGACATTGTAGACCGTGAACTCCAGTCCGTTCAGGGAGGGATATCTCATTACCCATGGCCCACAGCCCGGACTATCAGTCTCCCATCAGGAGCAGCTTGAATGGCACTGGCTCACCCTGAACTTCTGCATTTGGCTCGTGGCCCTGAGGGGAGACTTTGCAATGTTTGACTTTGTTGAGCTCTTCACACATGTGTCTTTAACTAGTTTACTGCTGGGTGCGCTTGGGAGAAATTACCTTTGAGCATTTCACCTTAACTGATCTGTTTTCCCCTGGCTTTTCTTTTTAGCCATTTGCTGCCTTATTTTCAGCCTTCACCACAGAATTTGGTGCATTCAACGTTCAACTTCCTTTTTTTTGCATTGACATTGCTGTTCTTCACGCCCCTTTGGTTTGCAGCATACCCTTTTCACCCTAATTTTTGCTTGTAAAAGCTGCATTTCCTCTCCAGTCTATCATCACCTCTGTAAACACCAAGTCTGGGTAAGTGAAACTGCTCTTCCCCGAAGCTGACCTCATTTCCCAGTGCCTCCGTTTCACAGGTTTCAGTCATATCTGCTTTATTGTCTCTGTCTTAGATGTGTGTCCAGATGAGCCCCAGATATCTCCTCCAGGCCTCTCCACGCAGAGTGCTTATGTGCTTAATATCTGCAAAGCCACCTTCGCTGCCTTGAGCGAGGAGACGCAGTCAGGCATGGCAGCAACGTACGTTCATCCTCCCAACACGGTATCAGGCAACATGTTTGGCCACTACAGTTGTCTCACAGCAGCTAATTCAGAAGCCAGCTCTGGCTGCTGTGTGTCCTTGATGGGAAATGCCTCCAGTCCTACGCTTGCAATCAAGTCAACCAAAGGTTCGCTTCCCAGCACATTTGGAAGAATGGCCTTCTTTTAAAAGTTGGAAAAACTGAGTCAGAGAGAGGTGAAGATGAAGTTCACACATCTGTCAGCACCATCATCAACATTACCATCATGTCTCTTGTCTGTAATAAATGGTGAATAGGATAGACAAGATTTCTAGAAACATGTATTTCATAAATGTGGACAAATTATTAAGGACAATTATATTAATGTGAAATAATAGATGAACTACATGTGATTTGCATTTTTTGCAAGTAAATAATAGTAATATCTATTTGCTTAGCCTTATATAGCTAAAAAATGTTTCCCGTATATGAGCTTAGAAAAAGCTCTTAATGTGAGTAAATATGGGCATTCCCTATTCAGAGAATGATAGAGTCATAGAGCATGTCTGGGCCAAAGTTCCTGGGCGAGTGGGTGCCAGAATCAGGACTAAAACTCTGCCTTCTAACCAGAGACCACCTCCTCTTTATTCCCTTCTGCTTCTGTGAGCAAGAAAGCCACACAGGAACTTCATGTCGAGAGCCTGGATTAAGTGACATTTCACTTCATGGAGAAATCCTCCTAGAGGGATTTGAGAAGTTCTAGGGCTAACCTTGTTATTTTGAGACAATATGTTTTCTTCAAACCAAGGAACACCATTTGAGGACGTTTAGTAAATGAAGTTCTGGGGAAAGCCCAGTAGTAGAACAGTGGTGGTGGAGGACTTTCCCCACTTGTCATCTTCCATTTACATTTAGATAAGGCCTGGTGGAGAACTGTATAGACAGTTGCAAGGATAAATTTGAGTTGGTGTGATCTGAAACGCAGCCAGTTCATTTCTTTCTAAAAGGCAGAGGCACGTTATCTAAGACTTGTATCTTGAAATGTATGTGAGAACCTTCTAGCCCTGAGAGTTCCCATCAGGCTAGAAGGTCACAGCTCTTCTAACATGAACCGCAGCTTCGCGATCAGTATAAAAGTCTACAATTACAACCATTCTTTGGAATCCTCTCCGCCAACGAGGACATTCCTTGGCTGGCTTAGAAAAACCAGTGCAGATTTGCACTGGGAAAGGAATGCAGTCTGAAAGAATGGCCAATGATTTACAGATTAAGTCTCCTATTAACTAAGAAAGAATAAGGAGGTTTAAAAACCATTCTGCCACCCTGCCTCGAAAATGTTTACAGGAGAAGCAGTGTGAGTGACAAGGTGGGGAGGTGGCAGAAGCACTGAATGGGACACAGAATTGAATGGTGGAACCAGGGGTGACCTGGCATCGTCATCGGGATCCCTTAGGTCTTCATAGCAGTTGTGACTTTCAGAGATGATTCAGTACTTATTATCTCAATGGGTTAAAAATTATTAAAGACTTTGTGGGTTCAGGCAGAGAGGCACCATTTCCACCTTATAGATAAAGACACTGAGTTTCGGCGAGGTTAGGCGTTTTATCCAGGCAAATCCGAAGTGGATGAGCGGCCTCCTGATTTCGAGGCCTGATTTCTGATTGCCACTAGGCACCTGCCTCACCGCAGAAGGAGAAAGTCTTGACCTGTAACCTGGGGAAATGGGATTGCCCGAGTGAGGCATGAGGAGGTGGAGTTTATCTAACTGCTCCTCAGAGAAGGATGCTGAGTGGGGAAGACAATGGCTGGCAGGCCTGGTGCTAGGGGCTCTGGGAGGAAGGGGCTGGAGAGGTCCAGGAGAAACCTGGGCAGGAACTGGACTGAGACAGCGTTTGAAAGATGAACGGGGAGATGGAAGTTTGGAGACGGAAAGGAAACGGCAAGCTCCAGCAGTTGACAATTATTGCCTGTGGGACATAACTCAGAGACTTCCTGCTCGTGAAGCCAGTGCTATGCTGTCACGGCCCACTGCTCCTGGCAGGGAAGTCCATTCTCTTGGGTAGGAACTGCTTTACAATTTCAGCAGAGATGCCTAACGACTCCAACACTTGTAACTGTTAAGCAGCATGTTCGTCTCACACCAACAGGTGACATGGAGAGATGCCTTGTGCCAGGCGTGTCGGGGGCCAGGAGGGCCCAGAACCCCTGACTCGGGTGTCAGAGGAGGTGTCCGAGGCCCGCCCCGTGCTCACCTCCTGGATATTCTGCTTCGCCCGGCTGTCAGAGGGATGCATAATTGTCCCCATCACTTTCATGTTGCCACAGACAACCAGGGCTTCGTCCGGTGCATCTGTGTTTATGCCCACTCGACCATGACAAACAACAGATTCTGGAACTTGTCCTCGCTGCCATAATGCATCAATGTCATTTTCAAATTGCCCAGGGTTGGAGGCCTGGAGAAAATACATAAATATGTTACAATTAAAGTTATAGATGCAGGAATAGATGATCGCTTTATTCCTCAAAGGAAAACAGAATGTTAGCCAAGTCTTTCACTTGAGAATCACATGTTGGATGGGACACTCTGACATATCCGAATAACTGTGACCCCAGGAGGGCCAGGGAGGCTCTCCTAACTGTTCTGCCCCCACCAGCAGAAGCTCAGCGTGTCATGGTTTGCAATGTCCAGTCTCTATATGGAATTGAGAATGTGTCAGTTACAGTAGGTGGACGGTAAGGAGAAGAAGAAAACTCAAAATGAGTATTTTTTCAGGGAGAACAATAATAATGATTTAAAACCAGAATATTACATCAGAAAATATTACAAGTTTATTAAAGCTCAGATAATTTCAAAAAAACCCTTGCATTTAGCTAGCCCTTCCATAGTTTCAAAACACCTTCATGTTTATGATTTCATACACAATTGACAAGCAAGTGACAATACAAATATATTTAGTACACCTCAGCTATTCCCTAAACACAGATGATTCTGACAGAAGAACTATAACAGCTGCATTTGTTGTGTGCTAATCCACACCCCAATTCTATGAGATAGGACCATTATCTTCCTTTTACTGACGCTGAGACTCTGAAAGAATAAACAAACTGCCCAAGGCCACAAAGTTAATAAGTTCTAGAGCTGCGATTATGCTTCCTTTGACTATTAAATAATGATTCTAACTTTGAGTTTTGTGATATTGCCTAAAAACGCCCTGGCCAAATGCAGTCTTCAAAGAAAATCCAAGTGAATCTATTAGACTAGAGAAAGTTCTGGAGATTTTACTGTTAAATAAATTTTTTTGCCAAAGAATTTTCCACTGTACTGCCTTCCCTCCTCCCCATTTCCCTGTTGCCACTGAATATATTTCCACATATCTTTAAGTAGGGATCTATGAATCCACCAAAATCCTCACAACGAAATTAACTTGTTTTTTAAATTATGACCTATCCTTCTCTTACTCTCTTGGTATTATTTGAATGTTTTTACCATAGGCATGCGTTACCAATTTACAAATAATAATTAAAAGAAATCTCAAAGTTCAGATCTAAGTTTGAGTTCAGTTAAAAAACTTAGGTGTGTGCAACTTCCTGTTTCATTCCTACCTATCTGAACCCTGAGCTGCTTGCAAGACTCAACTATTGACACTGGATAGACAAAAGCAGGGAAAGAATATTAAGTAACAACGTTGAACATCATTTTGTGTGAATTCACTTGAACAAAGAGCTTTTCCGCAAGATCCCTAGAGCCTCCTTGGTTGTGAATGGCAAATTGGCTTTGACTCAAATCCTTTTATAGTGAGCAATCAACTAAATCCAAAGGTATGCCATATAAAATGTTGATGCATTTTCCTCTGCTCTGAACATAATGAGCCACTTCAAGGAAACAGAATAGGACAGTGATGGATTTTCTTTTTCTTAATGAGCTTTGGGATAATTATTATCCTGTTTGTAACCTGACGGTACTGGAATGGCAGATGTAAGTAGATTCGATTTGGGGGAACAATTACAATCATCTCACTTGGATTTCATCAAATGAAAACTCAAATCCCTAAAACGTGTTCAAATCATTTTGGAAAGGGTCACATATCTACAATGGTTTAAATATAGAGCCCTAAGGAGGAGTCCTCATCAGTAATGCGAAATGTTATTATAAAATGTGTGAACTTATTTCCCTTCTCTGGTATCCAGAATGTTAATAGGTCAAAGCAAACTGAAATGGAATCACAGAAAAACATTCTGGAGTCATGAAGTTGTGTTCAGATGTGGCCCAATAGTGGTTGATTGCTATCAAACATCAGAATGAATTAAAGTTTCTAAAATACTTTTATTATTTATCACACAGCCTCATATATTTAGGGAAGACCCGAACATTCTAGTCTATGTTGTGACACAAACTGTCTGTGTGACTTTGGGACAGTTACTTAACCTTTCTGTACCAGTTTTCTCCCCTGAAGAATAAAGATAATAGTGTCTTCTTTACCTATCTCACAGGGCTGTGGGAATTAAATGAAATCACGTATGCATGAAACTTTGTAAAAATGAGGATGCATAGTCTCAAGTTCATCCTCCACACACTGCTGTGCAGAGTAACAACCATTCAACCTACAGTCAATGAATCTGCTCTCCTCAGTAACGCATCTGCAGAGCTGCACAATTCCGAGGGAACTCTGTTCACAAAGAATACAATGTAAATGGTGCCCCCTGCAGATGCTCGGAATAGGAAACACTAGTAGTAATTTGAGGCCATTCAAGTTTGGAATGGAAAGCTGGAATTTCTTTGCTTTACCATTGTTTGGGCTTCTAAAGAGCAGTCAAAGAGCATAATAGGAAAGCTTGAGCTGAGGAAGGCCATTCATAAGAAATTCATTCTTGTACCTTGTGCAAAGACTAGTGAAAATGGGCCTAGAAATGCTATCTACCGATGCTACTCTAAGTGTGGTCCACAGGCCAGCAGTATCAGCGTCTCCAGGAAGCTTGTGAGAAATGCATATTCTCAGACATCTCCAACCTACTGAATCAAAAATTGTGGAGGTGGGACCCAGGCATCTGTGTTTTCACAAGCTCTCCAGCGTATTCTCATTCTGCATAAAGCTGAAGAAGGACTTCTTTATGTCATACACCGCTTCCACGCTACCACTGTGAAAGAGGTCATGAGTTACCCCTTCCATAGTTAGTAAATGGTTCTGTTGAATCCCAACTGCAGAGTGAAACAGACATTGCTCCACACACTGATTCCTTTGGGTAAATAAAAATTCAATTGAACTCCAGAGGAGGTGTGCGTGCGTGCGTGCGTGCGTGCGTGCGTGTGTGTGTGTGTGTGTGTAGCTCTAGTGTGTTGGGAGAGGGAAGGGAGATTTGTGGTCAGAAATGGGCAAGAGCCAGTGAAAACTGAAATGGCTCTGCTCTCCCCCCCTGCCTTGCCATCCTTGCAACTGCATTGCTTCCCTTGTCTCTCCTGGCCCTTGGTGTTTGTTTCCCACCTTCATGACCCTGCGGTTGCAGAGCAATAAAGGAGGACTTTTGGGGGACGTGCCCATTTCTATTATTCTGGAAAATAACTGGAATAATTTATTAGTGTTCAAAACTAGGAAACCCTGGCGTGTCTTTGAAAGGCAGACAAAAATATTCATCCCTCCTGCTTGCGACACTTCAAACCAGGTTAATTATGTGTTTTAGAAGAAAAGTAGAGCTGAAGGGAAGCCTAGTCATTAACAAGGAGAATCTGAAGGAATTCTGCTGGGGAATGCTCCCCAAAACAAAGACCTGGGAAATAAATCTGTTCTTTGGAGTAAATTTTAATTTCCATTAAATTGGTCAATTTACAGTATGGGACCAAAATATATTTCCAAAGCTGTTTTGATTGACAAGCTGGATGAATAATTGCTGGGTCCTGCCCACCATTCTCCAAGGAGAATTCTGACCAGCCTGGTCTCCTGAACCCCTCCTGCAGCCCTGAAATTCATCTACTCCAGCCTTCATACAATTGCCCTTATGTTAATTTCTGCTATGGGGAGAAATAACTCTTAGGTCTCAAAATGAATCTGGATCTGCTGAATGCAATGTGCAGGTCTCCGTGTAATGTGGTCAGGTCTTGTAATGTCTTAATTGTTACATTTTTCTTCCTTCATTCTAGAACTCAAACTAACAGACCCAGACCATGACCCAAGAGGGCACATCTAGCTTTTTTATAGAATGTAGACTGGTCTGCCCTCTGCTCAACCCATGATACATATACCTGTTTAGTGCTCTCTAGAATCTCAGGGGCAAGACATGTGCTCTGGGGACATTTCTAAAACTCACTGATTCACCGATAATGCCATTTCTTAAATTCAGTTTTTCTCTTGGTTGGTTTAAACATTATATGATTAAACAAATTCAAAAGTCTGCACTCCTTTTCACTCAGCGTTTTGGGGTTAGAATGAAATAATATCAATAAGATACTTCCAGTTTGAGGGGAAGATATTATTACTATCATTTTTTACCCATTGTTGTTAAGGTAACCTTTGTGTTACCCAGCACACATATAGAATAGGGTATTCCCTTTAACCAAAAATTATGGCTGGAAGAAAGCCATTGAATCTGGAATACAATCATTTTTTAAAAATAAAAATGTAGTGAATAATATGACACCAAATCTATACTAATTTATTTATTTTTTTAGTATTCATACTTAACATAAATTGCAGACACTTTCAACTTCTCAAAGTCATCATTATGAGTGAAATTATTGTGCTTTGGATACGAGAAGGTGCCCGTTAACAGACAGTGCCAGCAACAGAATGTGCAGGGGTGTGGCCCCTCTCACGATGCTGCTGTGTAGACTCACACGGCAGCCAAAGTATAGCTTTGCAGGGGCTGTCAGCAGGAAATGGGGAAACCTCAATACCAGGTAAATTATTTAAAGTATGCAGGTGACTAGCAGACTGCCTGACTTAAGCATGAATTCCACAGCTCAGAGAGGCACTTTCATGATATCCAATCTACCCTAACGCTGAAAAGAAAGGCGTTGTCTGTCTGTATTCCTTCCTGTGAGGAATCAGAAAAAGTAAGCAACCTAGGTTTCCAGACTTGACTTAAATCGGATTTGTTAGCGCAGCAAAGCAATCCCAGATTACATCAGGTAAGGCATCAAAGACCCCTCTGACCCCTTCTGAGGGAAGGGCAGGAACCTCTGCCCTTGGCTCATGACCAAAGGAGGGGACCCCCACCTGCCTTTGCCGCGAAGGAGGCTGTTTTGCCACAGCTTAGATCAGGCCCCATAAAAACACAGCCCAGGGCGTGCATGCTGGCAGGCACATAACCGGCCCTCATCGTCATTGTTTTACCTCATTTCCATCATTACTTTACTTCCATTGAAACTCTGAGATGCAGTGTCAAGAGTTCCACTAATAGATGCCTTATTTTTTATTGACTAGAAGAATTACACAGAGGGTCCTTTGTTTCAGGATAGCTCAAGGCAAGCAAGGGAAGACTCACTTCCCCAGATGGGCAGATCTTGTCCCCAGGCCAAAGTTTAACAGCCATGTAAGTGGACGTGCCCATCGTAGACCATTTTCCCTACTGGAGCGTGCATGTCCCCCTGTGCCACTTCAAAGATCCATAACAAAGCAGTCCCTCCCAGGGCTGCCAGGCCTGTGGTTACCTGTTACCTCATGCCCCTGGCATTCCCTGTGCTGGCTGGCCTGGCCCCTCACAGATGCAGCTACAGCTGCCAACAGCTTTATGTTTTTGTGGCTGCCAAGACTCCCGTCCACAGCTGTGACCAATCATTCATTCAGCAAAACGTGCTGAGCCATTACTATGTGCTGCGCAGTGGCCCAGATGTCCCTGAGGTCACCAATCACTTTGGGGCATGGAATGCCTTCCTACCTGTTTCCCTACCCTGTGGGCTTTGGGGTCAGAGGAACTGGGTTATAACCTGGGCTCCATCATTTATCAGCTTTGTGCTCATGGATGACTTTCTCTTTCTCCTAAACCTTAGCTTCTCTGGGTATAAAGAATGTAATGTAAAAATGAAACAATGTAAAATGATGTCATACAGAAATTATTTAGCCCAGTGCCTAGAACATACTGTAAAAACTTTCTCAACTGCAGCACTACTGACGTTTGGGGAGGGATAACTCTTTGTTGTGGGGACTGTCCTGTGCATCATAAGGTGTTGAGCAGCATCCCTGGCCTTTATCCACTAGATGCCAGTAGCACCCCCAGTTGTGACAAGCAAAAATGTTTGCAGACATTGCCAAATGACCCTTGGGAGACAAAAGTTCTGGTTGAGAACCACTGCGTAAAAACTAAAAAATAACAGTATCTGCTATTGCTATCATTATCTTTGTCATCACTGGCAATTGAGAAACTGCATACTTCATGCATTCCACTGAATATGCAAAGTCTACTTACAGATGAAAAAGCAGGTGGGATCCAGAAAAGTCAAAGAACTGAGCTTACCCTCACAATGATCCGTTCAGAGACGTGAGCAGACAACAGGTAGAACTGGTCTTGGTTAGCAGCATACAGTCCGACCACCAACATGAAGTATCTAGTTCAGAAATAGCAGACCAATGCCAAAACGTCAGGAAACAGAGACATAATTTGTGCAATCGAACGCCACCCAACAGTTAATCAAGAGTGAATTTACCCAGATGGGTTCGCGTATTTAAAGAGTTTCTCTGCTGCTCTAAGTTGCCCCTCCTGCGAAACCAGAGAGGAGTTGATTCACTCGCTGTTGTTCTGGGTCTGCCCTTTGCCCGGCTTGAGGGGATGTGTGAGCTGTTTTGCAGGCCCAAAGCAGCCTTCACTGAGCAGACATCCTGCTGGGGGCCTGGGTTCAGCCCATCTGCGCTGGCCTGGTGCAGACCTTACTCTACTGCATTCCTGGGCCCTCAACACAGCACTGCTGCCGTGCACTCGCACAACAAAAAGCCACCTTCCAGGTCCCCTTGTCCAGAGCCATCCAAGCCACACATCCTAGGCCATAATGGATGGTGACCCAGCAGGGCTTCCCCAGCCACACAGTCTCCTTCCGCCCTGATCTGCTCTTGGCCATGGAAACTGCACCTTTCACATCTTCTGGCCATGACTTTAGTCAAAGACCAGAACTCTCCCTTCCGATTGTTATCAAGGCAACCTTCCTCACTGTGATTTTTTTTTGCGGTACGCGGGCCTCTCACTGTTGTGGCCTCTCCCGTTGAGGAGCACAGGCTCCAGACGCGCAGGCTCAGCGGCCATGGCTCATGGCCCCAGCCGCTCCGCGGCATGTGGGATCTTCCCGGACCGGGGCACGACCCCGTGTCCCCTGCATCGGCAGGCGGACTCTCAACCACTGCGCCACCAGGGAAGCCCCTCACTGTGATTTTAATTGCTTCTTCATGTGTACCATCGATGAGACATTTTTAAGATTAGACTATTTCTTTTTGTTTTTTTATAAAGCATGATGCATTTTTTAAAAAAAACTTTATCAGAGTATAATTAATTTACAATGTTGTGTTAGTTTCAGGTGTACAGCAAAGTGAATCAGTTCTACATACACATATGTCCACTCTTTTTTAGATTCTTTCCCCATATAGGTCATTACAGCGTACTGAGTAGAGTTACCTGTGCTGTATACAGTTAGGTCCTTATTAGACCATTTCTTGAAAGTCAAAATAAAAACTATCCCTATCAGAAAAGCTTTTGCTTTAAGAACTGCATAAAAAACAAAAACACTTCACCAACTTCTGTAACACTGTAAAGTCTCTAATCCCTGGAGGGCAAGAGTTCTCCCCTTTATCTAAAGTAAGTCAGTAATAGTAGTAATTGTTATCATGATGATTAGCCATCATCTACTGGGTGCTCAAAATGTGCCATGCACTGGGCTAAGCAGTTTATCTACATTATTTCATTTAGAACCCCGAAACAACCTTATTGGGGTAAAATATGGATATTGTCCCCATTTTACAGAATAGAAAACCTCAGAGAGGTTAAGTTCCATGCTCAGGGTCACCCAGCTAGTAAATGGCAGTATGAAATATTCAAACTCAGTTCCCTCCAACTCCATAACCTATGTTCTAAAACCAGTGGTTCTTAAAGTTGCATGCATCATATCACCTGGGGGCTTGTTAAAATATCGATTGCTGGACCCCACCCGAGTTGTTGATCCCATAGGTTCTCGGTGAGGCCTGACAACTTGCATTTCTAATAAGTGTCCAGGTGATGCCATCTCTGCTAGTCCTGGGACCACATTATGAGAACCACAGGTGTAAATCATTAATGCAAATTTATTTTCTTTTCAAAAAAATGCTACAGCAGAGCTGCAGGGCTCGGGTCATTAAACTAGTGGCCAGCACACAGAATTCAAGAAATGCAGTCAATCCTCAACCCTCGGCCAGCCTTGAGACATGAACATATGGTCCCTCTAGAGGATCATGGAGAGAATCAAGACAAGATGACCGGGCGCTGGGCAGGAGAGGAGGCATTGTGGGGAGTGAGGATGGAAGAAGAAAGATGTCTAAGGGTAAATGAGATGGGTCAACAAACGGAAAGAGTCAGAGAAGGGAGGGAAGCAACTGAGGGAGGCCTGGCCTGCCGGCTGGTAGGACCAACAGGATCAGAGGGGCCGCTGGAGGGCCCTGGGCCATCAGGTAACGTAACCAGCCAGCCTGAGGCATAGACACCACGCCAGTACCTCTGGTCAGGGTTTGGCTTTCCCTTCTTTCTCATGTTATTTGCCGTGGTTTCGCTGAAGTGTAACCGGCCCAGCGTTACTTTGGTTACCAGGTCGGCCAACAGGTCAATTCTAAAACAAACAACAAAAATATCGAGAGACTGTAAGAGAACACAAAGTCTTTGATCATATCGGACTCATTCTTAGCTTCTCAGGTATGTTCAGTCCCCTGCTCTCATCACACTGTGCAGGACACTGATTTTTAGTAAAGTACCTACAGCCTGGTCAGGAATGGCTGCCAGGGAGTAATTCTTGAATAGTTAGAAACGTTCATCCAGCAGCAGCTCAAGCCTGGAGTTTCGGACTCGTAAGCATCGCACACTCCCACAGACGGGTTCTTTGACCACGACGACAGGAGAAAAGCTGTTTCACCTGTGCCACAGTTGCTAGAACACTCGCCTCCTGACTGAAGCGTTTCCTCTAGGTTCCTCACGAACTCCTTCGCATCTCCTTCACGTATTTGCCCTCTCCTGACCTGGCTGTGGAAGGCAGCGTGCTCCTAAGGAAGAGCACACACAGCCTCGCAGCGAGGGAGACCCAGATGCACCAGGCAAGAGCAGAGCCGTCTGTACTGCGGCTCCTGCTTGAGCTTCAGGCTGAGCTCCCGCTGGCCTGTCCAGGCTGTAAGACCATCTTCTTCCCCCAAACAGGATTGACTCAGGGTCAAATCATCCCAGCCAAATCAGTCGAAAAGCAAATCCCATTCATTCTATAGGGCAACCTCTTGCTTTACTGCCATATTGCTTTGGACCACCACATTGTTTTGAATAATCCCAGTCCTGTATGCTTTCTATTTTGGAACCCGTTAGGCAATCTATCAACACTGCTTTAAAAAAAAAAACAAGAAAAAATGAATTGTAAGCACAGCATGGATCCAGAACCTTGAAATCAATTCAATCAGCCTCACACTGATTTAAATGAAAAATTAAAAGAAAGATCTAATCATAATCTATCTCCAGGAACCAAAGTTGTTAGCAAGGTTGTCAGTAATAAATGATCATATAAATAATGATGACCTTAAAGTGGAGCTTTTTGTAAGACTTTTTTTGCGATTATTTCAATGGTTTTACCTACTTTTGTTGATAAGCATGTGTTCATAATATTAACATATTATTACTAATTTAGTTCCTACAGCAGAATTCATTTTAAATAAACAAAATAAATTTGGCAATAGGCCTTCTTCCCAAAACATTCACAAGGGAATTCAGAAAAGAAATTCTTACTTAACAGGATTGAAAATCTTTTTGCTTCTATCTGCTTGGGACTGTTCAATAGCAATTATTTGATTGGTGGCCTCTACCTGTGTAGAACAACAAAAAGTAATTACTTAATAATTAATTTCTTTATTAATTAAAAAGTTCATTAGTAAATAATTTTCAAATACTTAAAGTTTCCCAAGGCATCATGTTAGGCACTTTGCAGGAGGGGCAAGTCGCTGAAGGGATGTAGTGCACCTTAAAGCAGTGTGTTACTGGTGAGAAAAGAAACAAATACCTGTAGAACTAAACAAAGAAAACACAAGACAACAGAGGATTTCAGGTAAACAGGGAATATAGAGTGGACTAGTAAAACACAGGAGCAAGGCAGCTCAAAGGACACATGTACTCATTCATTCATTCATTCATTCATTTAGTCATTCATTTTATAAATACTTGTTGAGCACCTGCTGTGCAGCAGGCATTGCTCTAGGCATTACAGATAAGAAGACGAGACTAACAGAAATCCCAGCCCTTGCAGAGCTTGCATTCTAATAAGAAGAAACAACAAAAAACAATAAAATAAATAAAATATAGGAATGACATTTATTCAGTAGTTGCTACAAACTCTTGTTATTAGTGAAGAGAGTGGCAAGGGCCTGGTGAGATCTGCCCTATCATACATGGCTTGTAGGTATTTGCATAGTAACAGTCTTTCTGGAAAGCAACTGGGCCACCAACATCAAGTGTTGTTAATACCGATCATATGTTCGATGTGTAACCCTTCTTTTGGAATTTATCCTCATACAAGGATGGATGTACCTGGATGTTCACTGCAGTTTTATCAATGACAATAAAAAATTGGAAATAAACAAAATTTACAATAATACAGGAATTAATACGGTAGTATCTCGATATAATGGAAAACCATGTCATCTTTGTAAATAATATTTTATAGACTTTAATGATATTATATAATGCCGTTTTCCCAGTATAATATTATCAATATGAGATTTTAATAATAGAAAACAATGAGGAAAAATTAGGCTACCAAGTGGTGGATCCCAAATACGAATGAATTTTACTCTTCTTCATACTTTTCTATTATGTTCCATAATGTTCACAATGGACTCATATTAATTCCATAATCAGAAAAATATACTTCATTATTGTTTGTTTGTTGTTTTATTTTGGTTTGGTTTGGAGCAAGATCAGCTGATGTGTTCAGCAGTCAAGCCCCACTTTGGGAGACTCAGTGCCTGAGCCCAGGTCAGAAAAAAAATATGCAGGTAATGGATGTTCCTCACCCTAAGGAGCTGGATCTCAGGTAATAATGTAATAAGTACTCGTTGATCACTCAGAAGTCATCCTACCTGCATTCTAATCCCAGCTCTATCATTTAATATTTTGGATGAACTGTGTGACTTTACTGGGCCTGGTTTTCCCCTCTGTTAAACTGGAAAAGGGGGGGCATTGACTAGATTAGCTTGGCTTTTTTAAGTTAGAGACCTCTTTGAGATTTCAGTGAAAACTATGAACTTACTGCATGTGAAAATGCACCAGCATCAAAAATAATAAAATAATTACACTCAGCAAAAGAAGTGCAAGATTTATACACTAAAAAACTTTAAAACTGTAGTTTGAAGTGAGGTTCTGCCAGATTCTAAGCCCAGGCTTAAGAAATTGGCAGCTTTCAAGTCCTGTGCCTTGAAGCCTTTATTCTTAGAAGCCGTCCGCCATGCTGTGAGGAAGCACAAGCTGTCCCACAGAGAAATCTACATGGAGAAGAGCCAAGGCCTCCCAGCTACAGCCCCCTGTGAGCTGCTGGCTGATGGCCAGCACAGACTTGACAGACACTGAGCCATCTTGGAAACTGGATCCAGGCCCAGATGAGCTGCCCCAGCTGATGACCCCTAAGCAGAGATGAGCTGTCAGAGCCAAGCCCTGACCAAGTTACAGATGTGTGACCCAAATCAATGACTGTTATTATTTTCAGTTGCCTAGTTTGGGGATAGATTATTATGCAGCAACAGACAACTGGAACACTTAGTAAATGTTGGCTGAATTAAACTGAACTAAATAAAAGACTTACCTTAATCCCAAAAGCTTTTAAGTAGAACATTTCTACTGGCTTTGGACCCATTTGGGTTTTGACAAATTTTGGGCTTCCCCAAACTTGGATGTGGATGGTGATCTGAAAGTGGTTCTTCTTTTGGCAAACAAAAGCTTCATCTGCTGGTGAAAAATTAAATCCTTTGTCTGTAACAACTCGATAGCCTATATCAGGTCTATGAAAAGTGGAAGCAAGGAACCGGTTTTACAAATATTTTCTACACATTTTCTTTCATGAACAATATTAATTATACAAACATTTCAGGAAAATATGTTGTGGAAAGTACCTGTTGCTATATTTAATCAATTTCGTTAATTTTCACCAAGGAAATGAAAATAGTATTTCAGAGTACAGCTGGCTCTCTCCCAGCTTTTTGTGTTCACGAGGAAGAAGCACGATTCCTGCCAAATGGAAGCATTGTTTCCTCAGCCTCTGCCTTTTCCCTTTGTGCTCCCTAGACTTCTAATTTGACTCCACTGTACAACAGGAAGACGCAGGCCAGAAGTTGAGAAGTTAGTACATTAATCAGACATATGAAATATCTGGGATAGAATTCATCTCTTTCCACCTTAAAAAAAAAATCTCTAATTTCATCAGCAACACCACACTCAAACGAATGAATGAATGCGTATCACTCAGACGAATGAATGTTCAGCCTCCTGGCAGTCATATGAAAAAAGCAGACTGGTCAGAACTACCAGCAATAGCTTTAAACCAGAGTAACCAGAGCCAGTCAGACTACTGATTGAAAACATGTTTTCACTAAAGTATGGTCATTTCCTTTTCATCTTCCTGATCTGACAATAGCACTGAATACCTACTATGTTGTTTACTTCTGCAAGAAAAAAAATGGGATGATGGTGGGGTGGCTGATCAGACTCTTGCTTTGTTTTACCAAATCATTTTCAATAGCAATGCTTTGTGTATTATATGTTTATTTAAATACTTTTAAATGTTAGTAAAAATAAAACCTATTAAACATGTAACATTATCAAGTAGAGAAGAAAATATAAAAGTTGAAAACTCCTTTGGTAATTTTTTCCATATACGCTGTAGATATGGAACATGATTTTTAATGCATCAAGTTTCCTAAATGTTCCTCAGGAAGGGAGCTCCTTCCTCAGATAACACACAGAGGAGGGCAGTACTTCACTGCTTTGTTAGCTCTCGGTCACTCTGTGGATCTTTGCTTCCTGGGATCTCAATTTGGATGGCTGACGTTTAATGAACAACATAGGGTTTCTAAATTTTCCTCTAATTTCAGAGACAGAAAATATGAATGGGTCTCCTGGGAAAAGAGTGTTTGTGTTCTTTGCAAGTTAAGCACCTCACCAATGGATCAACTCACTAGGTCACTGATTACCCTCAAGAAGCTGATCAAGGGGCCCATAACCACAGTGCCTGCCAGCGGCAAAGGGAAAGACCACTGAATGAAGGATTTGATAAAGACCACATGTCTTATGCCATCTGGGAACTTCATACTGACTCAGGCTTCTAGAACTAATCTGTAATTTGCTTGTGGAAAGGCTGGATGGATTGAATTGTATACATTTTACTAGAGAGGGTAGTAAGAACTCTCTTGGTTGAGAAAAATAAAAGGAAATATCTTTCTGTGATCTTCCATGTTTCACTGTCAAAAACTCTAAGGAAAGAAGGTAAGATTTGCAGCTCATATATGAGCATTAGCCCAAAATTGAAGGACAGCTGTAAGCAGAAACTGAATCAACCCATAGAGTTGAAGAGTATTCTGAATCTTAAACACAAATCTCTGGTTATAGAAACTATTCTACCTACCTAAGAGTAGCAATTCTGTTTTTGATATCAAAAGTTAATTATAAAGGCAACTAAACTGGCCTTTTTAAAGCTCTTTTTAACACATGTTGTAAATATCATTCCCCCCAAAAAAAGATGTAATAAAATTTTAATCCCCTAACTTTATTGCTTTTAGGTTATTTAGGAAAATGATATTTTTGTAACAAGTTAGACATAATAATCTAAGAAGAGACAAGTGATTTTCTGTCTCAATGATGTGAGTAGTGAATTCAAGATGGCCTGAGTTCTAATCCAGAAGAATATTGCCTTCCTTTTTTGCTTAAGAAAAGTGAATTACGGCTAAGCCTTCAAAATAAATTTGCCTCTACACCTTTGAGTTGATAATACTTGTGTTCTCCTTTTTTTCCAGATCAGTGGAGCATAGATTGGCTGTCCAAATAAACTTAAAAAACCTACTCAAGTAAGAAGAGAGATAAATGTTACCTTGAAAACTTGATCAACTCAAATACATACAGACTAGGAAGCATTACAGGCTTCAATTAAAATACTCTGCATATGTGTGAGTTTCATACCTTGGTGCTCGTACTTAGGATAGAATATGGAAGAACCGCCAAAAAGTCATCGAATGAAGGCTGACTCAAAACCAAGATCTATGGATCCTTCCTTTCTTTTTCTATTGCACACAGTGGCAAAGATACAAGTTGTGACATTTTAATGAAACAAGTAGCAACTTGCTTCTTTTTGTCTCCTATTAACCATACCAACTCCCAAAGTCTGTTTAACTCCTTAGATTTTAGGGAAAAGATTTCTTCTGTCTAGTTCATCCAACATAAAAGTCCTCGTGATAAGTTTTGCTCTTAATGAAGCTATATTTGAGTTTGGAAAATACCCTGAAGACCCTCAAGTTTGTAGCCCAGCGTTTCTCATTTCATATTATGTTTATTAATTGAAAATCCTATTCTTTAACCATTAACACGCTTCAGTGTTTCAAGAAGGCATTTGTAATCAATGAAAATTCTAGAAGAGTTGGGTAGGTAAATTATATCCTAAGGAATAAAGAGAAGGCTTGAAGGATGTTTAAGAGCAATAATGCATAAGTCCACATTTATTTCTTGAAACTGTAACGGCATAAGAATAGGATGAAAATTGTCCAGTTTAAGGATATTTTGTATGGTTTGATTTCAGTCTCTTAATATAAAGCCACCATCAACTATGATTGCTGCAGGCTATATTGACAATAAATTGACAATACTGATTTGCAGCACAGATGTTGGGGCAGCTAACAATTTAATGTGGCCCCCCAAAACTATTCTATGGAATTTTTAACTAACTGCAGGTTAAATGTTAATGATTTGGGAAATCTCCATTTTCCAGCTTTTAGTTTAAACTGGGCATGTGATCTCAGAAAGATTCCCTCTTCCTCCATCATTTAGTGGGTAAATTATGAGTTAGAATTACAGGTCTGGATTCCTGAAGGCCAGAAACCCAACTATTTATTGTTAAAATGCAAAATATAAGGAGTAAGACACACTTTCTGACTGATGCATCCCATTTGATCAGGGGTGGCATCAAAGCTCAAATACTTGGCTTTAGTTTTGAGAGTTAGCACTGCCTTTCTCCCCTCATTCTCCAGCCAAGCACAGGGTTCCTAAGGTCACTTACAGTTTTTCATATTGACTGTTTAATAAACTATGCCAAGGAATGCTTCGGTATGGCTGCCACTTCAAAGCAGGAGAGCACTGGTCCACAGGCATCATGTTCTGTCTCTCACTGTCGTGGTCTTGCACTTCGCTGCTGTGACTCCTACTTGTCACTGCAAAGAAATCAGTGCATTAAATCTTTCCTCCGAGGCTGTTTTTCCTAGACTCACAGACAGCTGCATGGAGCTAATGCATAGGCCATGTATGAGGCAGAGGGACCGTGTGGGGAGTGACAAGTGTTGGGAGGCAGGGGGCATGTGGCTGGCCTTGTTTCCTCATCTGTAAAATGAGCAGCTTGGGGTCAGTGATTCTAAGGTGCCATGGCAAGCACTTGTCAGAAACTTTTCCCTCAGTATCTATCTACCCTATTTCTGTCATGGCATCTCCTCACTCCCATTTTGTGTGATTCAGGTGAAGTCCACTCCCAGCCCGAGGAGGGTAGGGGACGCAGGATTGATCAATCAAACTACAGCATTCACTATTTGCATCAGTAATTGCACCAGGTAGACACACGGCCTAATTCAATCCAAGCAAAGTGGACCTCAGCACGTCAGGGAAGACGGGTTCAAAGATGCTGATTCTTTTCCATGAGGTTTGAACCTATAAGTCACATCCCCAAGAGCTGCTGGCACCATTTTGGGACATGAGGGAAAAGCCTGTCTGGGAATGAAGCCAGCACAGTGGAAGGCAGAGTTGAGAATGAAGGGCACCCAGTCCTGATGGCATGATTTGAGTTCTGGGATCCACTCCTAAATCTTGGGTTACAGGAGCCAGTAAAGCCCCTCATTTTGATTTTTTGTTTGTTTTGTTTTTGCTTACGGCAGTTTGAGGGTTTTTGTTTGGTTTGGTTTGGTTTTGTCCTTTCTTTGTTTTTGTTCATTGCAACCAATACACTCTAATCTATTATAGGTCCCTTGTGGTACCAAGATTCTGTGGTCTCTACTTTTTGAACTTAGATAAGTTATTTATTCACTTAGTGTCTTAATTCCCTCAACGGCAAAATGGAAATTGAAACAGGTGTCCTGCCCATCTTGCAACATCACACAAGCAGAGAGAATATCATAATACAAGTGAAAGGACTTTCAAAGCTAATACCAAGATAAAGTAACACAGAATATCTTGTTAGAAGCTAGTATTAACTATATGAAATTGCTACTTCTGTATTCAAAAATGGTCCAGGGGGCCTCCCTGGTGGCGCAGTGGTTGGGAGTCCGCCTGCCGATGCAGGGGATACGGGTTCGTGCCCCGGTCCGGGAGGATCCCACGTGCCGCGGAGCGGCTGGGCCCGTGGGCCCGTGGGCCCGTGGGCCATGGGCGCTGAGCTTGCGCGTCCGGCAACGGGAGGGGCCACGACGGTGAGAGGCCCACATATCGCAAAAAAAAAAAAAAAAAAAAAA